ATACTTCGTACATTCCATGTTCCAATTTTCAATGGATGTTTACAGCTGTTTCTCTTCATTTTGATTTGTGGACCATCAGCAAATGAAGGTTCTGTGAGCTTTTCTCACCCGAGCTTAACTCTATTCACGTCATCATGGTCACTGTACTTTGAGGAGACATATTTTTCCCCAGTCGCATTCTGAGTGCCTTCCACCTTCTGGTCCTGTATCTGACAGTGTTTCTCTGCTATTCATAGAGTTTTCCATGACTAGTGATTCGGAAGTAGTTTGTCACTCTTTCTTCTTAGTTTGTCTTTTTTGGAAGCTCATCTGAAACCTGTCCACCATGGGTGACCCTGTTTGTTATTTAATATACCGGTGGCAGAGCCCTCAGAACACTGCAACTCAGACCACCACAGCACGGCAGACAGACAAGTGGTAGGCGTTTGGTTTTATTTCTATACTGTCTCTTTAAATTTCGATGTCAATCTTGATACAATCTTGATATAATCAAGATACAATCGCGATGGTCTCTCCTAATCCTATCAATCCTGATACAATCAAGCTATGCTCTGCCAAGATGATGGCTCCTGGAACAGTTGAGTGTCTTGATCCAGAAAATAATGGATTTCTGGATTCTCCTGCAAATTCCCCAGCTATAAACACTCTGGTCCTCCAAATATACCTTTATATTTTTTTCAGAGTTCCAACACCATCTCATGAGTCCTCTTGGCCCGGTATTTGTGTTGTTGTTGACCGAGCTCCTCACTACACGTCTACCCGATCCGCCTTCTTGAAGGTGGACGGCCTGGTAGTGTAGTGGCTAAGAATCTGGCTGAGAACCCCACGGTCAGCAGCTCGAATCCAACAGGCCCTCCATGGGAGAGAGATGATGCTTTTTGCTTTTTATATTTAAAATGGCCTTGGAGTCTGGTGCATTAACCCACCGCACCACACCAGGACTCCAGATCTCGCTCGCTACCTCGCAGATCTCGCTCGCTGCCTCGCAGATCTCGCTGCCTGGCAGCCTTTAAGGGTATAGGAAGAAAAAAAAGACAGAGGATCTCTTTCAAGCACCGAAGTGTGTGTTTAATTCCAGCTTCTCTATCAAGAGGGATAAACATTGGATTGGGATTATAAGAATGATTTTAGTTTTTAAATTCTTATTAATTTATTTATTATACCAGGTTTGAACAATGGACTTTTTAGTTTTTCCTTTCTATTTCCTTCTTTTATTTTAGCCTTTTTTTTTTTCTGTGTGATTTGAATGAAAGTTGACAGAACAAATTGATTTTTCGTTGGATAATCCATACACATTTTGTTTTGTAACATGGATTGCAATCCCCACAATGTAACAGCATTCTTCTCACCTCTTCTATGTCTTTCCAATTCCCATTCATCCTCCTTTCCTATCCATTCTTGCTACCTGAGGTTTCTCCCTGCACAAATGCTGCCCTTTTGATCATCGGTGGTTGATTGTTCTAAAGGGTGTGTATCTCTCTGGTGTTATTGTTTACCTTACAGGCCTGTGTGTCATTTGGCAGAAAACTGAGCCACGGGGTTGAGTTCAGTTCTAGGCCTGATGGCCCACAAGTCTCTATCTTTGTCATGATCTTGAGTTTTGCTCCACATTTTGTTTGGTTGTGATCCCTTTCAGAGTGGTTGGTAGTAGTAGCTGGGCACCATCTAGTTCTGGTGTCAGAGACTGGGGTTCATGTGGTCCATTAGTCCTTTGGACAAATTGTTTACAATGGGCTTTTTCTTTTTGTAACTTTTTATTGTGAATTGAGTGAAGGTTTATAGACAAGATGATCAGTTTTATAGTCAACAAATCATACCCTTTGCTTCATCTCAATGAGTGCAATCCCCTCCATGCAACAAAATTTAAACCACTTCCTCCATGTGGCTCCTATTTTCATTCGGCCCACCTTCCCATCCCTTTTCAACTTTGTCCTTAGGTAAATTTTGTCCTTTCCATTTTGAATGGTTGACCATTCCATGGTGAACATCCCTTACTAGTGTTGTTGTCCCCTTTATATACCTAGCTACTGCTTGGCTGAAAATTGGGGAGTGATTGTGGGTCATGCTCTCGGGTTTCTCCAGCCTCTCTCTGACCAGTAAGCAGAGTCTTTATTATTATTTTTTAAATAACTTTGTATTTTGTTCCACATTTTCTCCCACTTTATCCAGGACTTTCTAATATAATACCTTTCTTTCTTTCTTTTTTTTTTTTTCCCCTTCAATAGCTGTTTATTGGCAGTGGGCTGGAAAGGGTGATGGAGTTCGCATATACAGACACCACCTCACACCAACATCACAAGAATGGCAAGAGTGATAGGAAAGAGTGGCCTGGAGGCCCCGAGGAGCTCCTCCCCTCAAGAGTGGGCATGGGAAGGG